TTCTACTTTCACAATTTCGGAGGAAAGAAAAAAACATGATGATAGCTTTTTTTTCGAAACGGTTTTAAAAAAAAAAAAATTTTTTTTGCTTTTTTTCACTTTTTTTCGTTTCTCTCTCTTTCATCCTCTCTCTCTCTATCTCTCTCTCTCTCTCTCTGTTTTTTTTCTTCCAATACTGACCTTAATTTTGATGTTAAATAGTCAAACGTAAACGATTTCCTTTCATTTTTTTTAATACCCTCATTATATCATCATTCACGGGGAAAAAAAGGTCGGAAATTTTTAAAAAATTTAAAGAAAATTTTTCTCTCTCTCTCTCTCAAGAGCGACGATAAATTTTACGATAAGTGATAAAAATGACGACGATGATGACGATGATGATGATGACGACGATGACGTCAACGACAAAAGATTCAAATTTTTAAAATTTTTTAAAAGAAAAAAAAAAAAAAAAGTTATACGTTTGTAAGAAACTTCGTATTGAATCCTCTAACGAACCGTGAAAAATTATTTAATTTCCTTCATTTGACGTGTCATTAGAAAAAAAAAAAGAAAAGAAAACATTCTTTCGTTTATTTATTTATTTACTTATATATTTTTCATTCGAAAATGAGAAAAAAAATTTTTTTTTTTTTTTTTAAATTTATTTTAATAAAATTTAAATTCAAAACTTTTTTTTTTTCTAACTCGATTTTTCTAGAAGAAAAGAAAAAAAAAAGAAAAAACTTTCTAATTCCACGGCACGTTTTATTATTATTATTATTATTATTATTATTATTATTATTATTATTATTATTATTATTATTATTATTATTATTATTATTACTGCTAGTAAAAGATAAATGATGTAAAAAAAATAATCGTCTTTCGTCATCGTCTTTATTATTTTACATCGATTTATCGATCGATCGATCCATCGATTTATTACCGGTAATTCGATATTCTTTTGCTTCCGTTTAATTATTTATCATTATCATCATTATTATGATTATTATTATTGTTGTTATTATTATTATTATTATTATTATTATTATTATTATTATTATTATGTTGTACGTAAGTTTTGTTACGAGTAACTTTCTCTTTTCGAATTGTAATTTATCAACTTGTTATTCTTGTTATTGCCGTGATTTTTATCATCGTCATCATTTTCATCATCATCATTATTATTATTATTATTATTATTATTATTACCGTAATAATTTCGTAGCCGTGAAATTAATTAATTTAGTTTATTATTATTATTATTATTATTATTAATATTATTATTATTATTATTGACTTTTCGATCGAGAGTGTGTTGGTTTTTTTTTCCTTTTTTCCTTTTTTTTTCGAATTTCGAAACGTTCGACGTTAGCCATTTTGTTTTCATCGGGAAATTTTTTTTCTACGCGCGCGTTGTTAATTTTTATTCTGCTTCCACTTTTTTTTTTCCTTGTCGTTTCCGTGCTTTTTTTTTTTTTTTATTTACTTGCAATTATTTTTTTTTTTTTTTAATATTTATTTTTTTTCTGCTTTTTAATGAAAGGAAACAACCGAACAATGTTTTTTTTTTTGGGGGGGGGGGGGGCAGAGGAAGGGGGATAGAGAGAGAGAGAAAAGGGAGAGGATTTTTTTTTTAAATGATAAGAAATCGAAATCAATAAAGAAAGTCGGTATGTATACGTAATACGTTGACGTGCGGTCTGTACTGTGGAAAACCGGAAATGTACGTTTAAAAGAAAATTTTTATAAAAGAAAAAGGTTTTAATGAGGTTTTTCCTCCCTCCCGCTCCTTTCACCCTTTCACTTCCCACCCTGTCGAAAAGTAAATTAAATGAAATTAAAATATAACAACATTTCCAAGAACAAGATTTCCCATTGGCAAAAATCGTTTTTCCTTTTTTTCCTTTTTTTTCGTTACTTCGAAGGGAAAAAAAAATTTTCATTATTTTATTTTTATTTTTTTTGAAGAAAGAAAACGACGATTGTTCAAAAGGGAAATGATGAAAGAAAGAGAGAGAGAAAGAGGAAGAGAGGGGGAGGGAGAATGAGGTGAGGATGAACGTAAGAAAGAAAAAGGAATAATAATAATAATAAAAATCATTATAATGGTAATGATGAAATAAGGAGAAGAAGAAAAAGGAAAATTTTAAATTAAAATTTTTTTCTCTCTCTCTCTCTTTCTGTCTCTTTCTCTCTCTCTTCCTTTCTTTTCCTTCCTTTTCCTTCCTTTTCCTTCCTTTTTTTTTTGAGGTTTATTACATTTTTTATGCCTTAATAAGGTCTCGGGAGTAAATTTTATTGATTTATTTATTCTATGAAATCTTTTAGTTTTATTATTTTTCTTCTTCATCTTCTTCTTTTTCTTCTCCTTTTTCTCTCTCTCTCTCATTACGACTAAAAGATACGTTTTCAATATTTTAAATGGTTTGTTTTTTTTTTCTTAAATAGAAAAAGGTTTTCTTTTTCCCCTTTTCTCCTTCCTCTCGTCTTTTGCGGCTGGGAAAAATGAGTGAGAGAAAGAAAAAAAAATGTGATAGAGAAAAAGGATTTTTTTTTTTTAAATTTTCAAAAAATTGGGTTAAATCGAAATTGTTACAAAAAAATTTTTTTTTTCTTTTTTTCTTCTGCTTTTTTTTTTTTTTTTAAATTTAACGAATTGTTTTTTTAATTTATTATCATTTGTTATTTAAAAATTCGGTCACGGTTTTTTCTTTTTTTTTTTTTTTTTTTTTTTTTTGGAAAGGAAAAATCAAAATTTTCTTTTTTTAATTCACGTAACGAAACGCGATATCCGGTTTATTACAAGTGTTATTATTATTATTATTATTGTTATTTTTCCTTTTTTTCTCTCTCGCTCGCATCGATCTTCGTTCTAGTTCGGAAAACAACCTTGGAAAAAATTATCCATGCAAATATACAAACAATGTGAATGAAATTCGGAGAAATGAAGTGGAAATAGCGTTGTTGTTTGGAGTGGTTGGAAAAATGAAAAAAAAAAAATAGGGAAAATTGGATTAAATCCAAAGTCGAGTTAAAATAACGTGTCAGCAGTTGTTACTATCGAAGAATTCGATTCTTCTCTCTCTTTCTACCTCCTCCCCCTTTCGCGTTTTCCCGAAGAAAAAAAAAAATTTTTTTTTTTTTGAATTCGTCCAATTTTTTTTTTTTTAAACAAGAAAAAATTTTATTCGGTTTGCGAAGGGGAGGAAAATTTCCGTCCTGTCCAGCCCCCGCCCCGTCCCCTCCCCTTTTTAAATTTTCCGAACGTTTCGTTTAGTTTTTAATTAATTAATAAATTAATTATCGTAAATATTTCCGGTGCATACGGTTCGGTCGTGATCAGAACTGTTTAAAAACGAAATCCGTCTAATAGTAATCATAATAATAATAATAATAATAAAAAGTCGGTAGGGGGAAGGATGGGGGAGGGACGGGGATGGTGGAAAACAAAATAACATACGAAAAACAATTTTAATTAAAATTGAAACGTAATTGACGACTTTACGAGAAATTATATATAAACTAATTAACAATTTTATTTCCCCCCTCCCCTCTCTCTCTCTCTCTCTTTCTCGGTCGGAATTTTCTTTAATATATTCGAAAGAAGGGGATGGGAGGCGGAAAGAGAGAGAGAGAGGGAGAGAATTGCAAAACGAGAAATGGGGAGATTTTTTTCAAATCGAAATTTACAATTCGATTGATTTTTTATTTGACGTTCGGTCGTAAAAAAAAAAAAAAAGAAAAAGAAATCAAACGTGGAAGTAGAAATGGCGGGGAAAAAATCTAACGCGAAAGCAGAAACGGAAAAAAAAAAAATTATGCGCGCGTTTTTATATTTTTGGAAAAAAAAATAAAAATTTTCAGGGAAAATTTTCAAACCGGAAATGTATGATAAAAGTCATGTCGATGATCCAAGTGTCGAAATGGGGGATTTTAAAAATGAGATTTTTGCTATTGACACGATTAAAAAAAGAAAAAATTTATTTTATTAAAAAATATTTTTTTTTGCACTTCGGTTTTTTTTTCAAAATGGAGGAGGGTTAAAAAGAAGAAAAAAAAATTATTTTTTTATCAACCCCCCCTTCGTCTACATTATTATTATTATTATCATTATGTACGTGACGTCATTAACCGACATTTCAATACCCTTTATTATTATTATTATTAAGAATCCGGAAGTTAACAGAGAAACTTATTTTTCATTTTTTTATATGCATTCGGCGTGTACGTGTAAATACAATGGGAGTAATTTATTTTAATTTTTTTTGGGGAGGGAAGAAAATGAAAGAACTCCCGTGAAATTTCGATATTAAAAGATTTTCCATTTCCCTAATTTTCTTTCGACGTTAATTCGCACGTTCACGCACGTTCTTCTCTCGATAACAAGGTTATTATTATTGAGTTTTAACGTTTTGAAATATTTTGAACATATTTGGACGGTTTTTATAAATCGCAAATGATTTGGTTAAACATTATGATGACGTCAACGGTAAACGACGGTGACGTCATTTAAAAAAAAAAAAAAATTGATTCCATTTTGGTAATAATATCCGAACCGGGTAAATGAAGAAAACGGTGAGTAATAAATAATAAATAGTAATTTCAATACTAATTTTTTTTCTCTCTCTCTCTCTCTCTCTCTTTTTTCCCACTAGCCATTTTCGTGTGCGATGGTGTTCGCGTGACATCGATCGAAAGGATTTCTATCTAATATTATTTGTCGTGGATGTAGAAACGAAATGAAAAATACGAAAAAAAAGAAAGAAAAAAAAGAAAAAGCTCGAGAAAAATTAAGGAAAACGTTCGAGTCCATCGAATCGAAAAGTCGGATGATGAAGAAAAGAATTGAAATATTACGTGCGCGTTCGAAAAATTTTATTATTATTATTATTATTATTATTATTATTATTATTATTATTATTATTATTATTATTATTTTCAAGTGGTTTTAGAAAAAGAAAAAAAAAAAGTTTTTTTTCTTATTTTTTGTTTTGTTTTGCCCTTTCGCAGGTAAAATGGTATTGAACCCGGTTGGCTCTCTACGACGCCGACCCGGTTTGGTCGGTCTCCTTATTGCCGTGCCATGCATCATCGTACTTTTGTCTTCTTCTCCGGATATGACGTCAGAAAACGCATTGGCCGAAAGGTTGGCAGATCTTCAAATGAAACTACAGCATTTGAATTCCATGCACCGAGCGAGAAGAGAAGAAGTACAGGTTCGTTAATGTTCGATTTTTTTTTTTGTGATTATTTGGAAATTTGACCCTTTGACCTCTTCTTCTCACCTCCCTCAAAAATAATCAAAAATAATTTTTTTTTTTTTTCTTATTATCGATGAATAATAATAATGATGAATGTTTAACGTTTTCTCTTTATTGTTTTGAAATCGAATTACGCACAAAAGTGTTAATGACGTCGAATGGAAACGTGAGCGAGTTAAACGAACGGTTGCGGTTGTGTCGTAATGCGCGACGTGGGATTAATAAATAATAATAATAATAATAATAATAATAATAATAATAATAATAATAATTTACACTGTCCATTTATGCGAAAATGAAAATGATAAAGAGGGAAGGAGGAGGAGGAGGAGCAGGACGAGGAGGAGGATTTTTCGGGGAGGTCGCATCCCGAACGATCGCGTCGTCGCCTTTTTTTTTCTTTTTCTCATCAATGTTGTTCTTTTTTCCCCTTAGTCCTTTTGATCCTCTCGCTGCTATTCTTGTTTCTATTTCACATCTTGCTCTTCTTCTTCCTCCTCCTCCTCCTCTTTCCCGCCCCCCAACTTTATTACTCGACTCTTAATGCATTATTTCTTTTTCTGTTTTTAATTAAAAAATTTCCTTGTGTTTTTTCGGTTCCTTTTTTTTTTTTTTTTTTTTGTTAATTAAAATTCTTTATTAGTTTTATATGCGAAACAATTTTTTCTACCTTATTCGAGATAGCTCGTGTGTGTGTGTGAGAGAGAGAGAGAGAGAGGGAGAGAAAGAGAAACATGGTAAACGCCTGATGTCAGAAGAGTACGAGGTGAGAAAGAGAAAGAGAGAGGAGATGAGGATAGAACCACGTACATAAGGATGGTTCGTTCGATTGTGAAAAAGGAAAACAAAAGCAGAAGAAAAAGAAAAGCTTTTTTATGCCTTTCGTTTATTTTTTTGTTTTTTTTTTTTTTTTTCTTTTTCCACGTCCTTCTGTTTTATGTGAATTTTTCCTACATACGCGTGATAATTTATTTATTCCGTTTTTTTTTCCCGGTTGTTTTGTTTGTTTTTTTTTTTTTTTACGGGTGTCTGTTTGTTTTTTAATTACATTTTTTTTTCATTCTCATTTATTTTTTTATTGAGGTTGATTTGTGTTTGTTTGTTTGCTTTTTTTTTTTTTTTTTTTTTAATTTTAAATTTTTATTTATTATTATCACGCTTTTCTTTAAACTTCCTTACGTTTTTTTTCGTACGTTTAATTTTTCGTTTTTAATGTTTGTTATTTTTATTATTACTATTATGATTATTTTTATTATTATTATTATTATTATTATTATTATTATTATTACTATTATTATTATTATTATTATTATCGTCGTCATCGTCGTCTTCTTCTTCTTCATCATTATTATTAATATTTAAATATATATATATCTTAATAATTTATTTCGCATAATAATAACTTATCACGTTTTTGTTTTGCTTTCCTTTGTTTTTCTTTTAGTAAATTTTCTTTCCTTATTATATTAAAATTTATTATAAAATTTCCATTGTTTATAACTGTCTCTTATCAACGGGGCTTATTTTATTATTATTACTATTATTATTATTATTATTTTTAATTTTTTACTTTTCTGTTGATATTGAGATTTTTTTTTCTATCTCTTTCTCTTACTCACTCTCTCTCTCTCTTTTTCTCCGTGCGTCTCTCATTATTTTTTCATTTTACGTACGGAGATGCAGCCCACAAAATCATCATCTTACATTTTCCTTCTCTCTCTCTCTCTCTCACTCTCTTGTAAAATTTTGATTTTTCTTCGACCTTTTTTTTTTTTTTTTTTCCAGATATTAACCCATCATTTAGCACAATTTCTCGTGAACGCTCAAGCTGACAACGTGACGATGAAAACATTGGAAACGGCTTTGAGTCCGGAAGTTCGAGTCCTTTTGAAAAACGTCACGGGACTTCAGGGAAACGGTGAACTTCTCAGATTGCCTTCCATCTATCATTTTCTTCCACACCTTTTGGAAAGTCCTTCTAGTCTTCGTTTGGGATTTCAAATGTCGAAAGGTCGAAGCGGGGGTAAGGAAGGAATGAAATCCGATGGAATCCAAATCCGACGGAATCCGATCGATTTATAATTTTTTTTAAAAATAATTTTCAGTGTCCATCGTTCTCGGGATACCATCGGCGAAAAGAGAATTTCAAAGTTACTTGGTGGGAACTCTTAGAAATCTCATTGACAGCATGAACGAATACGAAAGGAACGATACTCTTATTGTCGTTCTCATCGCGGAAACCGACATGGATTACGTCGTTCATTTAGCACATCAAATAGAAATCGAGTAAGTTTTATCCATATTGTTTTTATCAAAAACCGGCAAAATAATAATGATGATGATGATAAAGAAATAAACATCGGGGAAAAGTTATGTTGTTAGGTATGTTGTACGTAACTTATTTAGTAACTCAACCGTTTTTCTTTTTTGGTGTTGTTTAGTTTGTTGTTAACAAAGAAACGAATGAGAGAGAAATGGGGTTGGGGTAGGGGTAGGGGGAGGATAGGTAGGTAGATGGGATAAAGAATGAAAGAGAAAAGCGTGAAACACGAAAAAGAAGTTTAAAATTTATTCAGTTTTCATAATTTATTGAGGAAATTTTAAATATTCAAAAAGTTTTCAGACGTTAGTTTGTGTTGTTTGATACGTGAACCTTTTTTTTTTTCTTTTTTTCTGGGGGGAGGGGAAATAAGTCGAATGTGGTTCTCGTTCGAGAATTTTTCTTATTTTCCCTCCCCTCATCCCCTCTCTTCCCCTTGATTTATTTTTCTTATTCGTAAGAATTTTCCGAAGGTGCGAAGCAGAGAATGCGGAGTTTATTATTTTCCGAGGTGAACGTTTTGATTTTCTTTTTTTTTTTTTTTTTTTAAAAAACGGTTCACGTTCGGAAAAATCGGAAAAAATAACGGGATATCGTATGTGCACCCGCACGCACGCACGTTCGTTTAAAGATCTCCGAACGAAGGGATATAAAAGTGAAATTAATTTTCGAAATCCCCAAATAATTGTCGTTAAAAAAAAAAAAAAAAAAACCAAAAGAAATTAAATTGTTTTTCTTTTTTTTAAATTTTCCCGCCGTAAAAAAAAAAATTAAACTAATCCCACGTTGAAATAAATAAGGATCACGTCGACCGCGATGGGTTAGGATTATGCTGTTATTGAATAATATAATCTTATCAAATCGTTTTTTTTCTTCTTTTGTTTTCCACGTTAAGTTTTCCTTTGGCAATAATGGATAATAATAAAGACTTTTCTTTTTCCACGTCAAAGGAAATAATAAATGGAACGTTTAACTTTGTTTTGTTTTCATTCGTGTTGGTGCGTGTTCGTGCGAGCCTGGAAAAAAAAGGGTGTACGTGTGTCGAGTTTAAAAGAAAGTCAGTCATCCTCGAGGAAAAATTCTAAGAGAGTGAAAAAAGGGAAATGACGTCATGACGGATACGGAAGAGGGAAACGCGTAAGGATGACTTGCGTGTATGATGGGTGCGTAAGTGCGTAATATTCCGAAAAGGTTTAAATACTCTTTCTTGATTTTCGTCTTAACACGTGTTTTTATAATTTTTTTTCCCCGGTTGTTGTTGTTGTTTCTGTTTGTTTCTCAAACATATATTTCATTTTTTTTTTTATTGCTTTTTACGCGACATAAATTTTTTCATTTCGTACCAGTTTTAAAGTTTAAAAAAAAAAAAAATGGGGGAGAGGGTCTGTCGTAAAAGTCCGAAAACTATTTTCCAAGTCGAAAAAAAAATTTTGCCAAAAAAAAAAAAAAAAACTTTTAATTGTTCCTACGAGAATGGCGGGCAAGATAAAATTATACACATGCAAGACAAAATGAAATAAAATAATAATAAAAAATGGCGTTTGGGAAAATTCACATTTCATTTCATTTTTTTTTTTTTTTGGGGGGGGGGGATATGGGAGTCTTAAATGGGTTTCGATGTCTCTTATTTTACACCATCTGGTTCCCCGATGTTTAAATACATTTAAACATTTTTTTTTTTTTTTTTTAAATATTTTATTATCGTCGTGAATTTTTTATTGTTGAATTCAATTTGTTAAAGTGTATTAATAATAATAATAATGATAATAATAATAATTTATTCACAGGTTTTTTTTTTTCTTCTTACAAATAATAAATGATAACGTGGTGTGGTTTGGTGGAATAAGAAATAAATCTTTATTTTAAACGATCACGTTTTCTTCGGGTGTGGGGGGGGGGGTAAACGTGAAAAGTTTATTACGGATTATTTAACGAAGGGGGGAGAAGGAATAAAAAGGTAAAAAAAAAAAAAAATTTTTTTCTCAACTTTCCCGTTCGAAACGAGACGAGACGAGATTTGAACCCATGATTTTTTTCAAAGTAAAATTTTTTATTTTTACGAGAAGGTTTTTTTAAATCTCGGACACGAATCGAGAGAGTGAGAGAGAGACTTATGGAAAAGGATCATTAATTTCTCTCACTCTCTCTTTCTCTCTTTTAGATATATTTTTTTACATCATCAATTTAAATGTTTTATGTTTTTTTTTTAATGTTGGACGTCCCGTCCGTTGTTTATTCACGTTTCTTTCCATCTATCCATCTTGTTTCTCGATATAATTGTTTTTAGAGGAAAAAAAAAAAAAAAAAAAAAAAAACGGAACTGAGAACGTGTCAGAAGAACGTGCACGCACGGTGAATTTGGCGCGTTCGATAAGAAAATTTAATTATTTATTTATTTTTAAAAATATTTTACGAGGGAGATTTAAATCACGAATGGGCAAAATCGACTCCGTGTTAATATCATCATCATCATCAAGTAAAATATTTTATTGTTATTATTATTATTATTATTATTGTTGTTGTTGTTGTTGTTGTTGTTGTTGTTGTTGTTGTTGTTGTTGTTGTTGTTGTTGTTGGTACATGATATTGTTGTAATTTTCATCGTTAGGAGTAAACGTGCTTTTTTTTTTTTTTCTTACTTATTTAAAATTTCGATTTTTTTCCAAGTGTAATAGTGACGTCATAAATGATAAGTCACTCAGGTGCGTTTGATAAGTCACTCAGTCCCTTTACTGTTTTTTTATGGTTCAAATACGTTTTCAATTTTTTTTTTTTTATTAAAAATGGTTTTTGTTTTTCCCATCCGGTTTTTACTTTTTGCAAACTTTTGCAAGAAACGAACGTTTTTTACCTTTTATTAAATTTATCATCATTTCACGTTTCTCATTTATGCGAAAAAGAAAAAATTTAATTAACACGCTCAACGTTTAAAATAATCGTGCAAACAAAAACAAACGCAAAACAAACAAATGGGAAAACGTTACAATGTGCAAATACACACAAACACGTTGTTGTTGTTTCTTTTACGGTATAATCCGTTGTCTCGTCGCAATTTAAACGGTATTAAGTAACAATAATAATAATAATAATAATATATTCCGTTAAATTATATTATAATTTTGCCGTTAATGGCGAAGAAAGCGCGATTTAAAAAAAATTATATATTTCTATATTATTGAAAAACGTTATAAAAATTTAAAATGGCGTTTAGGGTGTTTACTCGTAAAAAATTAATATTATATAAATGAAATACGTTGCTTACGTCATAATATATACGTTAATAATAAAATATTAATATATATTTTACAGTGTTGCCATTTTTAACTTTCACACTTTAACGTTCGCGCCTTTCCTACGGTGTGTGTGTGTGTGTGACGTATTTATTCTTTTTTTTGTTGATTTTATTCCATTTGAGTTTGTTTCCTTGTTTGCTAGCTTGTTTGTTTGTTTGTTTGTTTGTTTGGATATAAATGAATAAATAAATAAAAAAAAAAAGAAACGGTGGTCATTAATCTCTTAGAATTTGATAAATGATACGAAGTGAATCAATTAACCCCGACGCCATTTTTTTTTTTTTTTTTTTTTTTTTTTTTTGAACAAAATAACGGTTTGCAAAAAAAAAGAAGGAGGAGGAGGAGGAGAATGGAGAGGGGAGGGAATTACGTCGAGATGAGGAAAAATTGTCGAAACTTTGTAAAAAAAAAAAAAAAAGAAGAAAAAAGGCCGGTAGAATGCTTTCGAGTCGATCGTTTTTCAAACGGAAAAAAAATTTATAAATAAATAATAAATTGAATTTTTTTTTTTTTTTTCTAATTCAGATTTTCTGAACATTTGAACTCGGGTTTGATCGACGTGATAGCTCCACACTCGTCTTATTATCCAGATTTGAACAATTTAAAAGTCACGCTGGGTGATTCGCAGGAACGAGTCAAATGGCGTTCGAAGCAAAATTTAGATTTTGCACTATTAATGATGTACTGTCAATCAAAAGCGACTTTTTACGTTCAATTAGAGGATGATATATTGGCTAAAAAAAATTTCATAACGAAAATGAAAACGTTCGCATTGAGAAAGGTGGCCGTTAAGGATCCCTGGTTCGTTCTCGCTTTTTGCCAGCTCGGATTTATCGGTAAGACGAAAGGAGGATTTTGAAGTTGATTAATTGTTGTCATTATTATTATTATTATTTTTCTATTTACACGTTTCCCCTTTTTGTTTTTTTTTTTTTTTTTCAGGTAAAATGTTCAAATGCGTCGAATTACCGACGGTCATACAATTTTTTTTAATGTTTTTCAACGATAAACCCGTGGATTGGCTTTTGGAAGATTTGCTCACTACTAGAGTTTGCCGCAAGGATTTACCCGCGGTGAGTTTTTTTTTTTTTTTTTTTTTTTTTTTTCTCGAAAAGAAAACGAGGGGAAAATTGTAAGGAGGGTGGTGGTGGTGGTGGTGGGGTATGCGACGGTAGCGACGGGGAAATTTGTCGCGTAAAAATCGGGTTATTTAAAAGTTTTTTTTTCTCGCACAATTCATCAAATTCTAAAAAGAAAAAAAAAGGATTTAAACGGATTTTATAAAATACGGTTAGTTAGCTGAAACGTTTTCTTTCTCTCTCTTTCTCTCTCTCTCTCTCTCTCTGTCTCTCTTTTTCTCCAACCGAAACGATAAAGACTAAAAATGTCGTGTTCAGACATGAAGTTTTAGACGAAAAAGTAAAGTTGAAATGAATTAGTTCGAATTGGAAAACAAAAATAAAGGATAACCGTAAAACAACGAAGGAATAATAATAATAATAATAATAGGTTCGGAGGGGAGGGGGGTTTGCGGTTCGACAGGGTGAAGTTTTCCGAGAAAATAATAATAGTTTATTTTTTGTTTTTTTTTTTATTTATAGAAAGATTGCAAAGCCGTGAAAACTCATTTGTGGGTCACGTACAGGCCGTCACTGTTCCAGCACATAGGAACTCATTCGTCCCTTAAGGGAAAACTACAAAAGCTTAAGGTTGTTTTTATTATTATTATTATTGTTAAATTTATTCCAATTTTCTCATTGGCCGTATCGTACGGTCTCTCACACTCTCTTGCTTTTTTTTTTGTTTTTTTGTTTCCAAAGTCCTTAAGCGCGTGACAGGCAATTCGTCATCGTTAGCGTAAGCTAAAAAAAAAAAAAAAAAAAAAAAAAAAAAACAAGGAGCGATATCGTTGTTATTATTATTATTATTATTAATATTAATATTACTGTTTTGTTTTCAGGATAAGCAATTTGGAAAAATATTATTGTTTCATCCTCACGTGAATCCTCCGGCGAAAGTAGTGTCGGATATAAAACCCTACAAGGAATATTCGTTCGAAAGAGCCTACAATGGAGAAACTTATTTTTGGGGTTTGAAACCTTTTGCCGGTGATAAGTTAACCATTAATTTTTTAACCGCGACACTAGTGAATAAATACCTTTTCCGGAGTGGTAACATCGAACATCCGGACGATAAGTTTTTAAACACGACCGTCGAAGCTTTGCCGGCGGATTCTGCGAAAATGAACGCGACCAACGATGGTTACGTCGTAGTCGGAGAATTCGATGCGAGCGGAATAGCCAAAGGCCAGATAGATATCGGACCCATAAAAATGTTGAGACTGAACGTACACAGCGACATGGACAATTGGGTCATTTTGAGCGAGGTTAGTGAGCGAACGTTTGCAAGAGAACGCACCCACCCACACACACTCACACTCTCTCTCTCTCTCTCTCTCTTTGACTCTGTTCCTTTGCCTTTTTACTCTTTCTCTCTCTCTCTGACTGTGTTCTTTTGCCTTTTGATTCTCTCTCTGACTGTTTTCCTCTGCTTTTCATTCCCTCTCTCTTTCTCTCTCTCTCTCTCTCTCTCTCTTTAAAAAAAAAAATTATTTAATTACGAGAAAGAAAAGAAACAAAAAAGAATTTTCCCATTTTTAATCCAGGAAAAATTTGATTTTTTTTTTTCTTTTTCGATTCAATGACTCGTGACAAAACCTTGAAATTATTTAAAGAAAAAAAAAAAAAAAAAAACGTGACGAAAATTTTTTCATTAAATTCTTTTTTTTTACGTCACTTCCGTTTAAAAAAAAAAAAAAAAAAATTTTTTTTTATATTTCCGGTTTGTTTTAATATTTAAAAAAAAAAAAATTCGTTCGACTATTATTTCGTTTTTTGTATATTTCCGGTTTTATTCGTAAGAATTTTCTTTTTTGTTTTCCGTTTTTTCTTTCTTTCTTTTTTTTTATTATCACCTTTTTCTTTATTTCGTTTTTGGAAAATTCCAAAAAAAATTAATAATAATAATAATAATAATTATTATTTTTGATTTTCAGATTTCAATAGAAAAATCTAAAACGAGGTGATAAAGAAAATTAAATTTTTTTTTTTTTTTTTTTTTTGTGGAAAATGAGAAAAAATTTAATAATTTGGATGAGCGGACGTGTGTGGTATTCTTCGACAAAGGAGTACAATCTTACCACCTCCACCACCACCACCACCACCATCACCAACAGCTGGAGGAGGAGGAGCAGCCGATTAAATATGTGATACTACAAACAAGCAAACGGCAAGTTTATTATATACACATTACGTTAATTTCCGATTCGAAAAAAAAATATCCTGTCGTAAAAAAAAAAAAAAAAAAAATTAAAAACAGGATCGAATGTTTATTGTAATTGTCTGCGGCCACGTCAAAAAAAAAAAAAAAAAAAAAAAAAAAAAAAAAAAAGATTTTTTTAAATATATTTTTTTAATAATGTTTAATTCGAATATAACGAAAAAAATAAGAAAAACAAAAGAAAAACAAAAGTAGGCGAAATTTACAGGAATTTTTCGGGTCACGTGTCTTACACGTCATCAATCGTCTGCTTTTCTATTATTATTATTATTATTATTATTATTAAATTATTTATTTATTTTTTTATCCCGTGATTTTCTAAAATAAGAAATCAGTGATAACGATAACACGTTTATACATATATTATTATTATTATTTATATTTAACAAAAAAAAAAAAATCAGTGCCAAAGAAT